GTTAAATAAGTCTATGTGAACATGGAAGTTTAGACTTAATAGGAAATGAAGTGGTGAAAAGCGACGGTTCAATTGGTCATGGAAAAGATTGATATTCTCCTACTATGAATGTATTAAATTCCGCTATATATATCGCTGGCAAAAGGCATGAATGAATAAATGATATGCAGTTTATGGGTTATGAAAATCCATATGAAGTTTTCACTAGAAAGAAAACAATTTCGCAACATATATATAAATCTCATACTAATTAGTGTCATGAAGCACACTATATTCTCATGAAGAGAATTGCAAGACTCGTAGAAGAGTTTATGATGACTCACGAAGAGTTTTTCTCCTAAAAGTGAGAATATTTCTCATAGCAGAGAAAGTGACTTCCAAAAGAATAAGTTGATCCCTGTAAGACTATACTAATGTATGAATTACCGGTTAATCTCCATATAACACCGATAACTCGTACTCCCATAAAGTGGATAGACCCGCCGTTCAAACGAATGAATTGGAAAATCACATCCACTAGCATGCAAGTGGATCGGTAGTTTTCTACATACTATGAAGGTGTAAGAATTTATATATCATGAAGATATACTTATTGATGGTATTTGGCAATCTTATTAATTCCCCTAATGCCAAAATATAGACCGGTTTATGTCACTTTAAGTGGTTTAAGCTAATTGTTAAAGATTAGTGAAACAATCAAATTGGTAATGATTAATAAATCCACTAACAGAAAGTTGCATAATATTTAACCTCTTGTATTGAGCTAATTATTTTATACATACCGCATATGTGTATCGTTGTAACTTATTTTCCCATAGTCCTCCGTAAGGATAAAACTTTGTTTGTATTACACATTTGAATAAGTGGTTATACATATTGCTCCTATACGTTGATTTATTTCTCAAGTTTATAGTAGAACTTATGAGATAAGTAAACGAAAGATTAAACATTGTGGTAATTTTATTATCATTGTTTTACACATTAATAAAAATGTGGTTATGACATTGGAACGTGGAAGTTTCAACGGATGTCTTATCGAGGGGGAGCATATATGCTAAACATTGATTATCATACTTAAGACTTGGAAGTCTTATATTTGATTTACCAAGAATTAATTAAATTAATCATTGTTTTGATAATTTACCTTGAAGGTTACTACCGCTATATTGTTGTGTTAATCCAAGTTGATTAATATAATAAAGCATATAGATCATTAGCTATTTATGAGTCTTAAAGATTATACGATCAAGAAGATCGTTTGTCGTATTCTTTTTCCCTTAGTGAGTTTTTACTTGAATATTTCTCGCGCAAGGTTTTTAACGAGGCAATAAGTGCAATATGACTAACGTGTACGATGTACTCTTTTCTCCTATCCTTTTCTCCCACTGGGTTTTTGGAAGGAGTTTTTAATGATATATGTGTATAGCGCGGTATTCGCCAAAGAGGGAGTGTTATGAAACTATTATCTCCTGCCAGAGATAAATATGGGCTCATACCAAATATATGGAAACGTATCCTAATAGGACTTCCTATTATGGGTATATATATTGAGAGAAAGGTCTTGAGAGGTTGGTTGATGTATCCGCATATGGTTAAAGCAATAAAGTTGTGATGCCCCTCACTATATCCGTGTTCATATACTATATGATTGTGTGTATGAGATCGTCGTCTTCTACTACGGATCAGCGAATTGGCCACCAGTTATTCAACAAGAATCACACAATATATGCTCGTGCTAGTTTACATGATATCGTGAAACAATTAATATAAGGACGACCATTTCTGCTACGAGAGTATGCATGCATGCATGAGTGTACGAAAAAACGAGCCAAATGGACGGAAGTGGATTTTTTTCCCCTCGAAGAACACATCTTATCGTTTTTTCATAGCATTTAAAAAATTATCAAAAAAATTAAAAAAAATTATCAAGATATATCAATATATAATATATTTTATCACAAACATGTAAACAATTTGAACAAAAAATAACAAATTTGATTGCGAATAACGTGTTCCATTCATAGTTAAATTTTTTATTTTTGTTTCTATTTGTATAAGTTAAATCTAATAATGCATGTTTTGTGTAGTGGCATATTACGTATTTTTACCTTTTCTTTTTCAATTTTTAGTATCTTTTTAAGCCAAATGTAAAATTAAGAGAACATCCCCTTGGTAGGTAGCACCTAAATACTTCTTCCTTCTGAAATATGATTTGATCCATTATAAAATAATGAATTTGGATATAAACTTTATCTGTATTAATGTCATTAGTACAGAAAAGATTTTTTCCATGCGGTCAAAATGCATTTTTCTATGCGGAGGTCCCGCCCGTCTGCACCCAGGTGTCTGCGAAAATCTATATTTTCGCGTGGGGCGGTCCAACAGCACAGGATAATCCATCTTCTCGTGCGGCCAAGTTAAGTGGACCACACGAGATAATCAATTATCCCATGCGGTTAAATTATACCGCCCGCATGAAAAAATAACCGAAAAAGAATACAATCAAAAAATCTAAAACCGTAATCCTAACCCTAGAATCGCACGGCGTCGCCGCTCGTGGTCGCCGTCGTCCTCGTCATCGCCGTGGTCGCGCCGCCGCCACTCCCGGCCGCCTCAGCCGCAACCGGGCGCCTCCTCCTCCTCGTCATCATCGACGCGGTGAGGATCCGGCCGGTCGCCAGCCACCGCGCTGCCTCCGCCTGCTACTGGTCGCCGCCTCGTCGGTGGCGGCGGTGACGAGCCAGGCGCCTCCTGTGCCCCGTGCGCTCGGTGGGGAGGGGAGGAAAGGCAGAGAGAGAGGAGTGATCGAGGAAGAATAAAAAAATGGGAAGAAAAAATGTGAAAATTTTGAGGTGAGTGAGAGGGAAAAGAGGGAGATGTATTTTTACGTGCGGTCGATTTTTGTGTGCGAGCCTCTTAAGGGTCCGCATGTGAAAATAGATGGCCGATTTTTACAGACGCATGTGAAAACAGAAAATAGGAGCTCCTTGTGTAGAAAAATCTTCTATGTAGTGTAGTGTGTATTGTCAAATGAATGATCAAATCCTATTATGGGATGGTAGCTAGGTACTCCACGAAGCTGCAAGTGACATATGCCTTCATCTTTACACGGGCGGCGCGACTACATATGCAGGGCATAACCCCGCAAATGGCCATCCCGCGGCAGCGGACAGCGTCCGCGCGCGCGGCGCACAACGTGACGCACGTAGCCTATAGGAAAGCGACGCGAAATCAAACACCACCTCTTCCTAGCCGCCGCCGCCGCCGCTCTTCGGCGTCGCCTCCGCCACTGAATTCTAGCTCGTGTCCTAATTTTAACCGAGGCACCAACTCAGGGAGTGTTTAGATCCCATCCTAAAATTTTACACCCTGTCACATCGAATGTTTAAACATCTACCTGAAGTATTAAATATAGGCTAAAACAAAACTAACTGCACAGATTGCGACTAATTTGCGAGACAAATCTTTTAAGCATAATTGCTCTATGATTTGACAATGTGATGTTACAGTAAACATTTGCTAGTGACAGATTAATTAGGCTTAATAAATTCGTCTCACGTTTACTGACGGATTCTATAATTAGTTTTTTTATTAGTGCCCGAACACCCCATGCGACACCTATATAATATCTGATATGACAAACCAATAGTGTATACCCCTAGATCTAAACACCCCCTCAAACGTGCACAAAATGTCGCTTAGTTAATACATATAGCACATTCCTATTTGTTACTAGTATTAGATACTAACATTATCCCCACACAACTGTAGTACATATATATTTGTCAGAGTTATGGATAAAGCATACCTCTTATCCTACGATTCACCAAGTATACCAGATTGGCATACCTCATATACCACGATATGTTTCTATATGTGATAAGGAAATGTACAAGATATATGGAAAATAACCTTACGGGCTGGAGACTATCAGAGTCCCTACTTGGAAAGGATAGGGACTATTCTTTATCGTGCAGGTTTCGTTGTCTCTGAGTTCTAGTTAGAGACTAAGGCAACTCACGCGGTATAAAAGACGTACCCCCGGAGGGGTTCAGGATCAATGAATCGTAGCGCCAACACATCCATCATAGTTTACGAAGCCGAAGGACTCAACCCGAAGCCGCCGGGAGATCTCGTCGAATAATCTTGGCAAAGATCTCGTTGGTATCTCTGTTCTCTTTGTACTCTGTGATTTTCCATATCAATATCATATAAACTAGATTTGGGCTATTATCTTACGAGAGGCCTGAACCAATATAATCCTTGTCTTTTGTCTGTTTTGATGTTGTATCGTGTAGATCCTCGTACCAATGTACCCTAATATCCTATTTATCCGGTCTACGGGTACCCCCGTCGATAATATCCTAATTAAACTAGCTAGGGAAAACAAATCCCGGCCCATTTGATCTTCCTTTCAATGATTAATTTCTCGATTATCCATCGATTCTGCATGCACGTAGTAGAGCTGCCATATTTAAAGTGGAAATAGGAGATTTGCACTAGCCTGGGTATAGCGTCAAAAGCTGAAAAATTATGCAGCAAACAAATTTCAACGATTAAACTATAAATCGGTTGAGGTCTGAAAAGGAAGACCGTGTCATAAGAAATGCGCAACTGGTAAAGCACAATTGCGTAGAGGTAAAGCACAATTGCGCAACTGGTAAAGCATAACTATAACTCCTCTATTCTCATAATAATTTTGATTTTACGAGAAACTGTCCCATCGAAACATGCCCTTAATTACATTAAGTTTTAAAAAATATGCCCTTAAATTAATACCAAAATGTGCGGTTGGGGCTCTACTCTTCGTTTTATGGAGTATATATATATAACTATTTTTTTGAATTGCCAACGGGCATGTGCTTCTTGTCTGCTAGGCGGCTGCACCAACCCTCTGAACAAGTAAAGATAGCACCGCGTCCTCCCAAAAAAAAAAAAAAACAAAAACAAAAGCGAGCATGTGTGCATAAAAGGCAGAGGAATCAATCAAACAGCCATTCAACGTGCAAGCGCGTCGATCCCATATCGCACATATATATACACATACATAGCAGGGGTTGCACAATACCATCTCCAAACATCAAAAACCCAAGCTCGCTCGCTCATCGGCGAGCTCCAAATCCACCTGTGTAGCTCAACAGGACGCACACGCAGAGCAGCTAGCTACCAAAGCATAACAAGCTCTGCAGCCTCAAGAGTGAACATGATGCGGTGTAGCGACCGCCTCCTCTGCAGCCTCTTCCTCGCCGCCGCGCTGTTCGGCGTCGCCGCCGCGGCGACGCGGCGCCACGACTGGGACATCAGCTACCAGTTCACGTCGCCCGACTGCGTACGCAAGCTGGCCGTCACCATCAACGGCCACACGCCGGGCCCCACCATCCGCGCCGTCCAGGGGGACACCATCGTCGTCAACGTCAAGAACTCGCTGCTGACGGAGAACGTCGCCATCCACTGGCACGGCATCCGGCAGATCGGCACGCCGTGGGCGGACGGCACGGAGGGCGTCACCCAGTGCCCCATCCTCCCCGGCGACACCTTCGCCTACACCTTCGTCGTCGACCGCCCGGGCACCTACATGTACCACGCCCACTACGGGATGCAGCGCTCGGCGGGCCTCAACGGCATGATCGTCGTCGAGGTCGCCCCCGGCGCCGCCGGCGACGGCGAGCGGGAGCCGTTCAGGTACGACGGGGAGCACACCGTGCTGCTCAACGACTGGTGGCACCGGAGCACGTACGAGCAGGCGGCGGGGCTCGCGTCCGTGCCCATGGTGTGGGTCGGCGAGCCGCAGTCGCTGCTCATCAACGGGCGCGGCCGGTTCGTGAACTGCTCGTCCTCGCCGGCGACGGCGGCGTCGTGCAACGTGTCGCACCCGGACTGCGCGCCGGCGGTGTTCGCCGTGGTGCCCGGGAAGACGTACCGCTTCCGCGTCGCCAGCGTCACCTCCCTCTCCGCGCTCAACTTCGAGATCGAGGTACGCATGCAAGCTCATCCCCCATCGCCATTGCCGCCATTATATATTCTTTACTTATCACCAAAAATCAAAGTGAAAAGCACACACGTTGAAACAAAAACACATGCTACTACATAAACCTCGATTTCGATTAATCTCGATTCACAGAACCATTACGTGGCACAGACAGAGTAGTGATGGATCAGAAATGCATAGGGGTTCCACAAGATGGTCGTAGCCAGATGATCTGGTTTCGAAAGCTCACCACTTCTAATTATTTAATATTAGATCTTTCGTTAATATTTGTGTCTTTAGTGTAGTGATCGATCCACTTATCCCCAAATTAAGTACAAATTGAGATGGCGACGCTGGGAGTAGGTATTACTAGTTGGTTAATTAGCATGTCTAACACATTTGCCATGCAAATGAATGGATGGAAACGACCACATGCACGAACTTGGTAGGAAATTGGACATTGGGTAGCTCTCGCGCGTGCGGTCAACCGGGTGAACCCTACAAGATTGGGTTTTCGCCGTGGCATCTCGACCAGAGAGATGAGAGATCGCCCAAAATCACGGTCACATGTTCGAAGAATCGCACCAATATCGAGACAGACGAGCATCTTTTACTTGTCCCGGCAATTGTGCCACTGCACGATATTCCGTAGGATTAGTATATTTTTTGTACTACAAGTATATATATAATCCATCATGTTTGGGAGCGTCTGCGAGCAAATCTGCAAGCAAGCAGGTTGATTTCGTCAATGGAGAAATCTGTAAGCAAGCTGAATAGGCTGAACAAGTTAGCTGAATAGTGGGGGATGATCCTGACACAACCTAATTTGGGCCCTAGTTAGTTGGTGTTTGTACTTGGCTTTGGCTGCATCAACTACGTGACAACGAGTTTAATTACTTGGTAATAATGCCATCCAACCAAATGTGTTGACTCATATATCGAACATTGACTTGGGTACTACGTAGTATATGTACGAGACTAGCAACTCGTCATGGGCTCATGGCGTTCGCAATGAAGCTTCCTTTCGCTGTCCACCGAATAGTTTCCGATTAACACGCCTACGCGGCTTGACTTGACTATTACTCTATCTGTTTCATATTACAAGATTTTCTAGTATTGTCCACATTCATATAGATGTAATGAATCTTGACATACATAATATATGTCTAGATTCATTAACATATATATGAATATAGACAATGCTAGAAAGTCTTATAATACGAAACGCAGAAAGTATTTTTTTAAATATATCGTTACTAGATGATTTATAAATAGTCACTACTAGAAAACTATTTCTGCAGGCGGCTAAAATTGGTCTGTCCATTGAAAACTATTTTTGAGGCGGCTAAACTAGTTGTACAAATATAAAAACTAGAGTATTGTTTAAGGCAAACACGTAGACCAGCCGAAAATGTCGGCAGCATAGTTCAGTGTAATTTAAACAACCACAAGAACAGATAATAATAGTGTACTTACAAGCTTACACTATAACCAAAGTAATTAGCCGTTAACCCTATCATGACAATATCACGTATGATAAGGTATACTAGTTGCAGTACATAAGTACAATCAACGAACAATCATATGATACGATGGCCCGTGATTTGCGTGAGATGCAAGAGATGATACACATGCCGGCCCCTACTTCTTGGCCGTGGCGCCATGTTCGAGAAAGCCTGCAACCGCGTAGTATGGGCATAAAAAATTCAGCAATGTGTATAGCTTGGTCAGTTGACATGCATCTCGCTTGGAAATTGCTTTGAGGCACGACAAACTGAACAAGTGGGGAACGGGCAAATAGCATCTGCATGCAGTACACTTCTCCGTATAAAAGTATATCCTCCTTGCATGTAGGGAAAAGTAAGAAATAATTAAGGCTCCGTTTCACTTACACGTTAAGGGACTTTGATTTGTAGAAAAAGTGTAGGAAATTTGAAAGATTTTCTATTAAACCCTTTGAAACAAAGGATTGAATTTTATACTATCTTTTAAAGTTTCTATGGAATGGGTAATCCTATAGAGATTTTGGAGGAAAGTTAGCAAGAGGTCCAACCTCTTGGAAAAATTTCTTTGAGTCTATCTCTCTCATCCGATTCCTGTGTTTTTTCTGTGGTTCAATCAAACGGTCATTCCTATATTTTTCCTGTATTTTCCAATCCTCTGTTTTACACCTGCATTCCTGTCAGAATTCTGCGTTTCTCCTATTCCTCCGTTTTTCCATTCCTGCGATTCAAAGGGGCCCTAAACGAGATGAATCATCAGCCCTGACAGCACATGTTGAGTACTCTCTCCGTCCCAAAAAAAAAAACTTAAACTAGAAGGGAACTCCCTCCGTCTTAAAACAAGCCCCTCCGTCTCAAAACAAGCATGAGATGGGACATAATTAAGTACAACAAATATGGAGACGGAGGGAGTAACTACTACACTAGTTGTGTTAGGACCGCTGTACGGCTATAATATCTCCGTGCACGATACAGTAGTGTAGGAAAGTGATTTTATCCCTCGAGAAGATATTCACTTGTTTCGTACATGTCACCTAAAATAGTCGTCAAAAAATTTTAAAAAAACTGGCAACATAGATTAATATGGAATATATCACTTCACAAACATGCACATTCAAATTTAACTTCTACAAGTTGTAACAAAAATAATAAATATAGCTGCAAATGTACGATAACTATTTTCAGTTTAATTTGTTCTTTTTTTGCAACTTGTAGAAGTTGAATTTGATCTTGCATGTCTGTGGAGTGATATATTTTATATTAATATATGTTATTATTTTTTTAAAAAAATAATAATTATTCAGATGAAATACAAACAACGAGGGGATGTCTGGATAAAAATCCACATCCGTAGCGTAGCATAAATATCTCTAGTGTGAAGTATTCACACTGTAGAGCTCAGATTTTTCTCGCCGATTTAGTAAAACAGATGATCAGTGACACAGTAATCTTAATTTTCTGAATAAGTCATTGACACAGTAAAAATACGAGTTACAACTTGGTTAATCCGTGGTAATTAAACGATTAATTAATGTGTTAATCAATTCCGCAGGGGCACGAGATGACGGTGGTGGAGGCCGACGGTCACTACGTGAAGCCGTTCGTGGTGAAGAACCTCAACATCTACTCCGGCGAGACCTACTCCGTCCTCATCACCGCCGACCAGGACCCCAACCGCAACTACTGGCTCGCCTCCAACGTCGTCAGCCGCAAGCCGGCCACCCCCACCGGCACCGCCGTCCTCGCCTACTACGGCGGCCGCCGCAACAGCCCCCGCGCCCGCCCGCCCACGCCGCCGCCCGCCGGCCCGGCGTGGAACGACACCGCCTACCGCGTCCGCCAGAGCCTCGCCACCGTCGCGCACCCGGCGCACGCCGTGCCCCCGCCGCCGACCTCCGACCGCACCATCCTGCTGCTCAACACGCAGAACAAGATCGGCGGGCAGATCAAGTGGGCGCTCAACAACGTCTCCTTCACGCTGCCTCACACGCCGTACCTCGTCGCCATGAAGCGCGGGCTCCTCGGCGCCTTCGACCAGCGCCCGCCGCCGGAGACGTACGCCGGCGCCGCCGCGTTCGACGTGTACGCCGTGCAGGGGAACCCCAACGCCACCACCAGCGACGCGCCGTACCGGCTCCGGTTCGGCTCCGTCGTCGACGTCGTGCTCCAGAACGCCAACATGCTGGCGGCGAACAGCAGCGAGACGCACCCGTGGCACCTCCACGGCCACGACTTCTGGGTGCTCGGCCACGGCGCCGGCCGGTTCGACCCGGCGGTGCACCCGGCGGCGTACAACCTCAGGGACCCAATCATGAAGAACACGGTGGCGGTGCACCCGTTCGGGTGGACGGCGCTCCGGTTCAGGGCGGACAACCCCGGCGTGTGGGCGTTCCACTGCCACATCGAGGCGCACTTCTTCATGGGCATGGGCATCGTCTTCGAGGAGGGCGTCGAGCGCGTCGGCGAGCTGCCGCCGGAGATCATGGGCTGCGGCAAAACCAGGGGCGGCCACTGATGATCGTGTAGTAAAACTGAAATTAATTACCAGAAGCTAGCCGTTCGATCGCCATTGATTTTTATCACAATTAATTCTTTTGTTTTGGATACTATCTCGATCATATGGATGCATGGTAGCTTCGTAGCTAGTTAATTATATTCATATTAGTGTTTAACACTATGTTAGTTAGGTCCGTATTATTCCACACTATGGTGTGTAATTTGCAATGGTGAAAATGGTGATTTATTACTGCCAAGATGTACTGTAAAAAAAGTAACAACTATTCAAATAAATGAATGTATTACCTGAAGTCTTCTGATCATCTGAACCAGTTCCAATTGCCCATATTGGTGCATGTGTTAAGCAGAGCAGATGGAAGACTAAATTGCCCATATTGGTGCATGTGTTAAGCAGAGCAGATGGAAGACTAACTACCTCCTGTGTTGACTAAGCATGACATCAATAGCAAATAATGATAGCAGTTAGCAAGTAATTAACACAACGATTTCTAAACCAAACCATGCACGTGCTTTCTTTTAACAGATTCTGTGTGCTCAGGGAACTTTACAGAGAGAAATCTCTCTTTTCTTTTTAAGTTGTGAAGGATCTCTATCACAAACTGGTACCACGCGGTTTAGATCTAAATATATGACACCGATCAACTTTTCCCTTTTAATCATCCTACTGTCAGAATATCTAGCTGATCTCTAGTACGTGTTAGGTATCAATAATTAATCATCTGCGCGCATATGCATGTGCACGTAGTACTCACAAGGGCATACACTGTGACGGTGATCGGCAGATCGTCCAAAGAAACAGAGAATGCAATTCCTGGAATTTGTAAACGTTAATTCCCCGGACACATCTACGACGAATCAAGGTGCAGCTACTTCATTATTCAGTTCTTTTTTTCCGAAGGTTCTTTTCTTTGTTCATTGGATGAATTGGCGTAAGTATTATTAGCTGATGCAGTGCTTATCTATGCATTGTATTATTTTATACAAATATATAGTAACAGTTTGATCTCTTGTAATAATCCTGCTAAGTCAACCCAATCCCGCAATCGCACACACCTGCAAGGCTGCAACCATCCGCATCGAGTACTCCAGACCAAAAAGAATAGACGCACTCCAGTTAAAAACAAAAAAGAACAATAAACATCATTTTTAGTTATATTAAGGCTATATAGCTATATTATTTACACATCTTTTTTAGTTTCATACCACCACACTATCCTTCCATCTGTGACGGCACTGGAATTTGTGGGCCGTCACAAGGAAGTAATCTCAATCGGGCCAAAGTTTCGCCCGATTGAGATATGGTCGCATAGTCATAAAACTAAAGCCCGTCACGGATGACACTTATCTGTGACGGGCTATAGTTGAGGCCCAATTGAGATGAGGGTTCCATATCTCAATCGGGCCCTAAAAGAAGCCCGTCACAGATGAGGGTCATGTGTGACGGGCTCCAACTAGAGACCCGATTGAGATAAGTTTAGTGCCCGTCACAGATGATACTCTTTTTTGACGGCCTTTTATTAAGACCCGATAGAGATTACTTGTATACCCGTCATGGTTGAATGTATGCGAAAAATTTGAAACGTCATTCTACAGAGTACAGAAAGGGCGTAATAAATTTTATGAACGCCGCGGAGGAGGATCGGATAAGAAGGAACAGTGATTACATATGTTGTCCATGTGCAGATTGCAAGAATGAGAATATGTTTGATAGCGGAGAGGACGTACACGGTCATCTGATACAACGAGAATTCATGGAGGGCTATACATGTTGGGTGAAGCATGGAGAGCAAGAATCAGGAAGTGGAGCAGCAGTAGACAGAAGTGGTGCACATAATCAGGAAGATGAAGATGAGCATGACATGTTTATACCTTCTCCATTGGGCGGTGAAATGGTTGATGTGGATCACGATCTGCTGCAAGACATGTTACGTGACGTTGAGGACCCAGCCCAGAATGAGAGAGATGGAATGAAGTTCAGTAGGTTGGTAAGTGATTCTGAGACGCCTTTGTACGCTGGATGCAAAGCAAAACACACTAAGTTGTCAGTTACCTTGGACCTAATGAAGCTGAAGGCAAGTAGTGGATGGACAGGCAAGAGTTTCACAGATCTTTTAGGAATTTTGAAGGCTATGCTTCCTGTTGAGAACACATTGCCCGAGACGACATACGAAGCAAAGCAGGTTCTGTGTCCACTGGGGTTAGAGGTCCGTAGAATTCATGCTTGTCCCAACGACTGCATATTGTACCACAAGCAATATGCGGACTTGGATGCTTGTCCTGTCTGCAAGGCTTCTCGATATAAGCGAAAGAAAAGTGCTGACGAAGGAAATAAGTCAAAGAGGGGTGGTCGGGCAAAGGTTGTGTGGTATCTACCTATCATTGATTGTTTCAAGAGAATCTTTGCCAACCCGAACAAAGCGAAGTTAGTACGTTGGCACGCCATGGAGAGAAGGAATGACGGTATGCTTAGACACCCAGCGGATTCGATTGAATGGAGGAATATCGATCGAAAACACAAAGACTTTGCTGCCGACCCTAGAAACATGAGGATATGTCTGTGTACGGATAGTATGAATCCTTTCGGTGACATGAGTAGTACTCACAGCACTTGACCAGTTCTTATTGCAAACTATAACCTCCCACCATGGTTATACTTTAAACGGAAATATATTGTGTTGTGCTTGTTAATCCAAGGTCCAAGGCAACCCGGCAATGATATCGATGTATTCCTGGAGCCTGTTATCGACGATCTGGAGATTCTTTGGAAAGAAGGTGTGGAAACTTGGGATGCATATGGTCAGGAGAACTTCAAGCTAAGAGTTCTATTGTTCTGCACCATTAATGACTACCCTGCACTCGGTAATCTTTCCGGACAAACTATAAAAGGAAAGAAGGCATGCTCCGATTGCAAGGAACATACACGAAGCCGGTGGCTGAAGAAATCACGAAAGATGGTATACATGGGTCACCGGAGGTGGCTCCCGCTACGTCACGCATTTAGAAGAAAGAAGAAAATTTTTAACGGTAAGAGATAACTTCAGCCTGCTCCTAAAGATTTGTCCGGAGATGAGGTCCATAATATGGTCAAGGACATAAGCAATGAGTTTGGGAAGAAAAGAAAACGTAGCAAGACAAAGGAGAAGGGTATGTGGAAGAAAAAATCCATATTTTGGCGGCTACCTTACTGGAAAGATCTTGATGTTCGTCATTTCATTGATCTCATGCATGTAGAAAAGAATGTGTGTGAAATTTTGGTTGGCCTGATGTTGAATATTCCCGGGAAGACAAAGGACGGGTTGAACGCGCGCCTTGATCTATAGGACATGAATATTCGCAGTGAACTCCAGCCCATACGAGATGCAGAGACAGGTAAAGTGTACCTCCCTCCAGCCTGCCACACACTGTCGAAGGATGAGAAGATCACAATGTTATCATGCTTGAAGGATATTAAAGTTCCATCGGGCTATTCAGCGAGGATAAGTAAGTATGTTAAATTGGACGATCTAAAACTTGTTGGAATGAAGTCTCACGATTGCCACGTGCTAATCACACAAATCTTGCCAGTTGCTATCAGAGGCATTCTACCACCAAAAGTGTGTCACACGATCCAACGTCTGTGCGCCTTCTTCAATGCAATTGGACAGAAGGTTATAGATCCAGAAGATCTAGATGGGCTGCAGACCGATATTGTGAATACCCTCTGTCACCTGGAGATGTTTTTCCCACTGTCTTTCTTATAGTATTCACAATAATCACATTTCTCTCATCCGGTTTATAAATATCAATACAGATATGTCAATTTTGTAAACATTGGTACTATCACTTTGTCGGATGAAGAAGTGACCAAAATAAAAGTTGTAGATCCTGATGAGAGGATCAACTTTGTTTTTGACCATATTTCCATTAGAAATCATTTAGTATTTACAAATGCTGTTTAGATTTGTCATATTGTCAAAATCAATTTCAAGCTGTTGGAAACAAAGTTATATAGACAAATGACCAAAATAAAAGTTGTAGATCCTGATGAGAGGATCAACTTTGTTTTTGACCATATTTCCATTTGAAATCATTTAGTATTTACAAATATTGTTTAGATTTGTCATATTATCAAAATCAATTTCAAGCTGTTGGAAACAAAGTTATATAGACAAATGACCAAAATGAAAGTTATATAGATCTTGATAACCTCTACAATTTTGTTGTTAACCATATTTCCATTTGAAATCATTTACTATCTGAAAATGTATTATGACTAATAAAATGAATTATTATACAGCAGCTATATATTTTGTACTCACAAATATAAAGACTTATCTGGAAAAATGGAAAAATAGTCATCAGTGACGGGCCTTAGTTCAAGCCCGATAGAGATTAATCTATCTCTATCGGGCGTTATCTTAGGGCTCGTCACAGATGACTCATCCGTGACGAGCCTGAATGTCATCTCAATCGGGCATTAGTATGGTGCCCGTCACTGATGAGTCATCTGTGACGGGCCCTACGGTAAAGCCCGATTGAGATGACTCATCACTGTACTATATCTAGGGTTTCTCAGATCGGATCGAAAATTTTTCTAAGTCCCGCTACAGTTTCCCGCCTCCTTAGAACCCTAGCGCCGCCGCCAACTCCTACTTCTCCGCCGTCGTCCTCCCTCGCCGCCACTGCCACCGACACCGTCACCGCCGCCACCTAGCCCGCTGCCGCCGCCACCGAGCCCGCCGTCTCAACCGAGCCCGGCGCCGCCTCCACCGACCGGCGACGCCCTCCACCGAGCCAGGCGCCGCCGCCACCGATCCCGCCGCCACCGCCATCGTCCTCCCTCAAGCCTCTACACCGACCGGACCGGTGTCGGCCTTCCTCGTCGTCGCTGCCCGCGTCCTCAGCGACGCACGTCGCCTACCCCCACCGAGCCCGACGCCGCCCGCCTGGCTCCGACCTACCCGACCGGCATCTCCACCGACCGGCGCCGCCCTCCACCGAGCCCGGCGCCGCCGCCGCAAACTCCTCCTTTGCCGAGCCTGCCGCCGCCGCCACCGAGACCGCTGCCTCCACCGAGCCCAACACCACCTCCACCAACCGGCGACGCCCTCCACCGAGCCCGGGGCTGCCGCCACTGAGCCCCACCGACCGTCCTCAGGTGAGTCCTCCATTGCGCCGCCCTCTGCTAACTATGAATGACATGTTATTGAAATGTGGATGTGGATGATATGTGATTGAACTGTGAGTGAGACATGTCGATGTTGGGATGAAATGTGGTGCATTTATAAATTTTGTGATAGATAATTGTAGTGATTGATGAAAT